TTCATTCAATTTATTTATTCAATAATTGGAATAATCGGAACATTTATTCCGATTATTCCAAGGAGTATTTATTCCGAGGAATATTTATTCTGATTATTCCGAGGAATATTTATTCTGATTATTCCCAGGAATATTTATTCTGATTATTCCGAGGAATATTTATTCTGATTATTCCGAGGAATATTTATTCTGATTATTCCAGGAATATTTATTCTGATTATTCCGAGGAATATTTATTCTGATTATTCCGAGGAATATTTATTCTGATTAGTCCGAGGAATATTTATCTTGATTAGACCGAGGAATATTTATTCTGGTTATTCCAATTACTTATGTTTACTTAATTTATTTGTTAATTCCCGAATACTTTCTATTTTATCAATTTTTTTTTTTAAATATATATATTTTATCAAGTCTTCTAAGATCAATAAAAAAAAAGTAAAAAGAAACAATCGACTAAAATAGATGTTTACTCGATTCTATTTATTTTGTTTATTTCAAGTTTAATTAAAATTAATAAACCTGGTGATTTACGAACTGTTGGTGACGCATTATGAAATGATACAGCGCGACGTATCCCTGAACCAGATGTATGCGATGACAAACCATATGTATAGGTACTGTAAACTTGTAATCAATTACAAATACCACTCATAGCTTTTAATTTTAAAAATATTTTAATCATCGTAATTAAGTTTTTTAAACTGTTGTAGAAACTATAAGTATTTTAATAGTCTAAATCTAAAATTTAATATACTAATATACTTTAAAATATTATTAAGTTAATAGATCCATTAAATTTCTCTTCCATAATTCTACTTTTAATTGATACTACTTTAATGATATATATATCATATTAGCAATGAAACAAATTAACCGACTGTTTATTTAATTGAACGATTAAATTTGAATATTGATTGATTTAATAATAATTGGAATACGATTATTACTATTGCAGTTCCGTTATTCAATTTTAAACGTTCCATTTTTAAAATGTAGCATTTAAATTTAAGCATTTCCTTTATATGCCAATGTATTATTTCGAATTTTTTTAAAGTATCAAAATAATTTTCCACGTAAAAGTCCACTTCAAACGTTAGATGCGACATGTCAAATACTTTTTTCGTTTAATAATTAATGTAATGAAATAAAGCAAAAGCATAAATTATATTTGAAAACAGATTTCTATTTTCATTTTGTATATTTTATTTAAAAAGAAAATCAACGACTTTTACAAATGCTATCCTAATTAATGAACATTAAGTTGTTAATTATCTTACAACTGGTTTTTCAAAATATTTCAAATCTTTTGATGCTTTTAAAGATTGCTATTTCATTTCTTTCACTTTTCTTCCTCTTCATTATTTGTCGATAATAACAAATTAGCATATTACGTCGTGTTAGCAATCACGTCATTTACGCGAAAATTTGCTTCAATTTTTAAAATACTTAAATCTCTAATAGTTTGATAGATTATAATTTTTGTAACTTTATTCTGAATCAAAAATTTCTTAATTTTCCATCCAGAAGATTCTTTCTAATCGTCTCCACATGCAAATATGTCAAAGTTAGGTTTGTATATTTTCGCATAAATAACAACAAAGGAAAAATTTCCCGGGCAAAAATTAAATTTAAAACGAAAGTCAAAACAGACACTGCTTTACGTCGAATTATTCGAAAATTAAATCAAAAATTGAAAGTCAAGAATTAAATCGAAAATTAATTTACAAATTAAATTATTCTTTCAAAGATCAAATCAAAAATTTATTTATTCAAAAATTTGAATAAAAAACTAAATTATTCAAGAAATTATTCAGAAAATTACACTAAAAGTCAAATAAAGTTGAATTAAAGGAAAAAAAGCTTAAAAATTAATCTTTTTGAGTTATTTTTGTCAGAAATTATTAAAATTTCTAGATAAAAATAAAAAGGTCCCAGCATGTGACAGTTAAGTTTTAAATTAAAATATTCAAATTATTTATTTTCCCCAAAAATATTATCAAATTAAACAGTCAGTAAAACAAACAAAACATGTGTCTTGTATAATCGATTAGCGCTAATTGATTACCTAAGTCTAATTTGTATTGTTCGGCAAACTAACTCATATGATTTTAATGGATTTGAAGAGCGATGATCGCAAGATGCAAAGTGGAAACAGCAACTGGACAACCTTCGATCCGAATCTGTATCGCTTCTATCTTCCAATTGAATGATACTTTCATATTTTTTCCCCAATCCGGATCCGGAACCAATAGATTCCGTTGTTTCACACATTCGTTGCACTCGTGCTAACATATCAATCATAGCGTTTGTCGATGAAAATGCTCGATATGACTGCAAAAATATTGTCAAACTATATGTTAATTAATGATATACAGGTATAAAGCTTCATTTAATATTTTTTTATTTAATTGTACTTGAATTTATGATAAAATTAGAATGTATTTGGGAATTTTCGATTTTGTGTAATTACTGTAAAAATATTAGGTGACGTCGAAAATGCCAAGAATATTGGCTGACGTCGGAAACGCCAAGAATATTGGGTGACGTCGGAAACGCCAAGAATATTTGGTGACGTCTGAAACGCTAGGAATATTGGGTGGAACTGGAAACACCAGGAATGTTAGGTGAAATCGGAAACACCAGGAATATTAGGTGACGTCGGAAATGTTATGTGGCATCAGAAATATCGGAAATGTTACGTGACGCTGCAATGACGGAAGCATTATGTGAAATTGGAAACGTTGGAAATGTTGGAAGTATTACGTGACGACGGAAAAGTCATTATTTTAAGGATTGTTTAAGGTGTTAATTGTCGTCAAATTTGACATGTATAGTTTCGCCTTTTTTTTTTTTTTTTTCTTAATTTTTA